ACCAAAAAAATTTTGACCAAAAAAAATTAGACCAAAAAAAAATTTGACCAAAAAAAAAATTTGACAAAAAAAATTTTGACCAAAAAAAAAATTTCGACCAAAAAAAAATTTACCAAAAAAAAATTGACAAAAAAAAATTTTGACCAAAAAAAATTTTGACCAAAAAATTTGGACCAAAAAAAATTTACCAAAAAAAAATTTGACCAAAAAAATTTTGACCAAAAAAAATGTGATCAAAAAAAAATTTGACCAAAAAAAATTTTAACCAAAAAAAATTTTAACCAAAAAAAATTTTTTCAAAAAAAAATTTGACTAAAAAAAATTTTGATTGAAAAAAATTTTGATCAAAAAAAATTTTGACCAATAAAAATTTTAACCAAAAAAAATTTTGATCCAAAAATATATTGACAAAAAAAATTTTGACCAAAAAAAATTTTGACTAAAAAAAAATTTGACCAAAAAAATTTTAACCAAAAAAAATTTTTTCAAAAAAAAATTTTGATTGAAAAAAATTTTTTTGGTTAAAAAATATTTTGACCAAAAAAAATTTGACCAAAAAAAAATTTGACAAAAAAAATTTGACAAAAAAATTTGACAAAAAAAATTTTGACAAAAAAAATTTTGACCAAAAACATTTTGACCAAAAAACATTGACCAAAAAAAAATTTCGACCAAAAAAAAATTTACCAAAAAAAATTTGACCAAAAAAAATTTTGACCAAAAAACATTTTGACCAAAAAAAATTTTGACCAAAAAATTTCGACCAAAAAAAATTGTGACTAAAAAAATTCTGATCGAAAAAAGTTACTTATATCATTCACAGATTGTAAATTATTTTAGTTCAGATTTACATTTCTAAAATTTTACGGTTATATAAATCCTGACATGTTATATATTTTGGCTCATAGTAAACCATATTTCCAATAAATTACTTACTATCAAATCTGTCTCTATTAAAGTTTAAGTCAATATAATGTAAAGAATAAAAAAGATATTTTTTATCGAAAACAAAATAGAAGAAAAATAAAAAGAGCATTATAGTTATTTATAGCCAACCGCTAATAAAGCCATGTATTACCATAGCGATTTGTAGAAGTAAAATAGACACTGTAAAAAATTTTGCCAAAAAAATTGACTAAAAAAAATTTTGATCAAAAAATATTTTGACAAAAAAAATTTGACAAAAAATAATTTTGACAAAAAAAATTTGGATTAAAAAAATTTTACCAAAAAAAAATTTTATCAAAAAATATTTGGACAAAAAAAATTTTGGACCAAAAAATATTTTGACAAAGATATTGGACCAAAAAAAATTGAAAAAAATTTTGATCAAAAAAAAATTTCAACCAAAAAAAATTTTGATCAAAAAATATTTTGCCAAAAAAAATTTGACTAAAAAAAATTTTGATAAAAAAAAATTTTGACCAAAAAAAATTTTGACCAAAAAAAATTTTGCCAAAAAAAATTTGACTAAAAAAAATTTTGATCGAAAAAATTTTGACCAAAAAAAATTTTGATCAAAAAAAATTTTTGCAAAATTTATAATTTTTAACAAAAAAAAATTTGCTGATAAAAAATTTTGCAATAAAAAAATTTGCAAAAAAAAATTGTCAAAAAAATTTTGCACAAAAAAATTGAACAAAAATTAGGACCAAAAAAATTTTTACCAGAAAAACTTTGGACGAAAAAAAATTTTGAAAAAAAATTTTGACCAAAAAAATTGAAAAAAAAAAATTTTGACCAAAAAAAAAATTGAAAAAAAAAAAATTTTTACCAAAAAAAATTTTGACCAAAAAAAATGGAAAAAAAAAATTTTGACCAAAAAAAATTTGGATCAAAAAAATGAAAAAGTTTTGACAAAAAAAAATTGCTAAAAAAATAAATAGAAAAGCACAAAATTTTAAACTGTCAGACAGTCATGGTTATGTTAATAAATATTAGCATCAGCTAAAATATTTATTTTTCTAAAATGTCTATGGTAATGCATGGCTTCATCACCAGTTGGCGATAAAATTATTAAACATAAAGTTTTTGGTTCCTATCCTATTGTTACTACTTTGGTAAAACATTGAGCAATATTCACTTACAACGAACTAATCGTACCTCATTTTGCGTCAGCCATTTCATTATAAAGATGTGACAGAATAGTCAAAAATTACAGATCTACAATAACAAATTCCTAAATATATGATTTGGATGGAAATTTATCAGTTTCTTATACTATTTATTGTATAATTACGTATATAAGTTCCAAATAGTATACTTTTTAAATTGTACTTAGATTAGAAAAATTTGGACCAAAAAAAATTTGGACAAAAAAAATTTGACCAAAAAAATTTTTGACCAAAAAATATTTTAAGAAAAAAATATTTTGACAAAAAAAAATTTGACAAAAAAAATTTGAAAAAATTTGGACAAAAAAATTTGGACAAAAAAATTTGGACCAAAAAAATTTTGACCAAAAAAGATTTGAACCAAAAAAAATTTTGATCAAAAAAATTTTGACAAAAAAAAATTGGCCAAAAAAATTTTGACTAAAAAAATTTTTTCAAAAAAAAAAAATTTTGACCAAAAAAAATTTGACCAAAAAAAATTTGAACCAAAAAAATATTTGATCAAAAAAATTTTGACAAAAAAAATTTGGCCAAAAAAATTTTGACTAAAAAAATTTTTTCAAAAAAAAAAAAATTTTGACCAAAAAAAAATAATTTTGACCAAAAAAAATTTTTACCAAAAAAATAAAAAAAAATTTTGGACCAAAAAAAATTTTGACTAAAAAAAATTTGGACTAAAAAAATTTGGACTAAAAAAAATTTGGACTAAAAAAAATTTGGACCAAAAAAAATTTGGACCAAAAAAAATTTGAACCAAAAAAAATTTTGATCAAAAAAGATTTTGACAAAAAAAATTTTGACTAAAAAAATTTTCACAAAAAAAATTTTGACCAAAAAAAAAAAATTTGCCAAAAAAATTGACTGCGTGAGATTTTCAAAAGTACAATTTTTTTTTGTATCTTAGTTTTAATACTGAACAATATTTTTTGATACAGTAGAAAATTTTATTTTATTTTTTTTCTTGTAACAAAGTGATATAATTTTTTAATTAATTTATTTTAGTTTTTAAATCTTAAAAAAGAATTTTAGAAAACACAAATTTGTTTTTTTAAATTTGTAAAATCCCGGGGACAATTCATTATAGTTTTTGAATCAGAATAATACAAAATTACAGGCGTTTCGTTTTTAAAAAACGTTCAATAGTTCTAACGATTTTTCTATAAATCTGTTTTCACAACAATATGTATATCAGAAAAGGCAACAATTTAAAAATAATTTCAATCATACAGGGTTCTCCAAGAAGGTGATACATATTAAAATTAGTTTTTTTTTTAAATTGGACACTTTGTACTTTATTTTATATTAGAATTGTGTTCGCTTTTCAGATTATAACTAATAAATAGTATGAGATTATACAGGGTATTTTACGTGCTTCAACCAGTTTTGTATGAAAATTTTATCGATTTAAATGACTTGTGGTGTGCAAAAAAAAAACAATTGAAAAACATTTTTTAGCGGTAAAAAGTTTTCGATATTAGTCAAAATTTGTGGCAATTGGAAACAAATTTGTACAGGGTGAGTCAAAATTCTAATAAATCTGAGGGATGGGGTACTTTATAGGGGGTCGTTTTTATATTTTATGGAATATTTCTGGTATTTGAGTTTGGAAAAGAAAATTGTTCCAATAAAAGTTATTTGTTATATTATTCTCTATAATTTTTGTTTCATACAAATTTCTCTAAAATAGTCCGTATTCGAGATATTTGAGAAACAGTGTAAATTTCGAATTTTGAAGAAAACTCAAAAACGGATAAAGAGAAAAACATTAAATTTTAAACTTAAGCTTTATTCCGGCCTGTGGTGAATTAATTAGATTTTAGGTAGAGTCGGAACATCTGGGGGGGTACTTTATAGAGGGCCGTTTTTATATTTTATGGAATATTTCCGTTATTAACGTTTAGAGGAAAAAATTGTTCAAATAAAAGTTATTTGTGATATCATTCTCTATAATTTTTGTTTTATACAAATTTCTCTAAAATGGACCATATTCGAGATATTTGAGAAACAGTGTAAATTTCGAATTTTGAAGAAAACTCAAAAACGGATAAAGAGAAAAGCATCAAATTTTAAACTTAAGCTTCACTGCGACCTGTAGTGAATTGATTAGATTTTGGACAGAGTCGGAACATCTGAGGGAGTACTTTATAGAAGGCCGTTTTTATATTTTATGGAATATTTCTATTATTTGAGTTTGGAGAAAAAAATTGTTCAAATAAAAGTTATTTGTGATATAATTCTCTATAATTTTTGTCTCATACGTAATTTCTCTAAAATGGACCGTATTCGAGATATTTGAGAAACAGTGTAAATTTCGAATTTTGAATAAAACTCAAAAACGGATAAAGATAAATACATTAAATTTTAAACTTAAGCCTCTTGGCGGCCTGTGGTGAATTTATTAGATTTTGAGCAGAGTCGGAACATCTGGGGGGTACTTTATGGGGAGTCGTTTTTATATTTTATGGAATATTTCCGTTATTAACGTTTAGAGAAAAAAATTCTTCAAATAAAAGTTACTTATAATATCATTCTCTATAATTTTAGTTTTATACAAAATTTTCCTAAAATGGTCCGTACTCGAGAAATTTGACAAAATGTAAAAAATTCGAATTTTTATAAAAATTGTTCAAATAAAAGTTGTTTGTGATATAATTCTCTATCATTTTTATCCCATACATAATTTTTCAAAAATGGACCGTATTCGAGATATTTGGGAAAAAGTGCAAATTTTAACTAAAGTACTGAGAAAATTAAATATTTGAGTTTGACCTTGTACAAATTTGTTATTTTTATAGCGAACACAACTCAAATATAAAATAAAATACAGGGTGTTCCATTAAAAAAACCTAACTTTTTGGAGAACCCTGTATAATTGGAGTTATTTTTAATTTGTCGCATTTTGTTGTGAAAACAAATATAAAAAAAATCATATAGTCTCATCTTTACAAACCCAGGCGTTACTGATGGCCCACCCTGTATATTTTGTGTGCATTATACAGTGCTTCATAAAGTCAGATCCATATGAGATTTTTTTTATATTACAATTTTAATTAAACTTCTCTGCTTATTTAAAAACTTAAAATAACTACTGACATTACTTTTCTGTCAAATTGACATTTAAAAAACTATTTTTTAAAAAAATACAAAATTTGACCGATAATTAATACAGTTACCTAACCAACTTCAATATAGGCCTATTTTAAGCATATAAAAACGCAGAATTGAATGGATCCAACTTCATGCAACACCACTGTATAAAATAAAAGCTCTATTATCACAAACAACAAAAGAATCCTCTGAAACTTATTAAATATTTATTCACAGATTCTCAAAGTACAACAGAAAAAGAATTAATACAAATACACTCGACCATTCACTCCAATTAACAATCCTAAAATGATCCTGGGAAACAGTAACAGAGCTTCAGCAAAAAAATAATAATTAAATAGATACAAACGAAATTAATAATAAATTAGAGTACCATTGGAAAGAGAATTGAACGCCCTTTAAAATGATGTGCCACTTGACCCCCTTTTAGGTTTTTAAGACTAACATTTACCTCTCCTAGAAAGTTGATCCACAAGTGTTAAAAGTATTAATTGCAGGTGTCCCATTTGGTAACAAAATTGACAGGTGTTTCCCTCATTCATTCCTTAAATGTCAAATTTATTTTTTCACTTCAACCATCGAGAAAATTGTGGAAAATAAGTAAATGCAGTTTTTTTTCAAAACTAACTTAAATAGATCACTTCAATTTAATTTCTCCTTCCTATCATAAACAAACGTACTTGTTTTTACCAAAAAAAAAGAAGAAATCATCTATCATACTAAAAAAATTAATTAACACGTTAAACGCCATAAAAGAACCTGGGAGAAACGCGCATTATAACTCACGGCGCTTAACGTGTTAAGTTTAATTTATATATCACTTTGTTACGAATATAATAACATTCAACAGTTTAGCATGTACAAGTTAAGAGTAAAATTACAGTTATAATACTGAAATGAGCATTAGAATTTAAAATGGCGTATACACATGAACTAGAAAACATTATTACTTTTCGCGTACGTCTCGTAGTTGAATTGTTTTTTATATATCTGAGGTATATATTACGTATACTGGTTTCATTAAATAATACAACAAAACAATATTATATATGATCTAAATCAGCCTTTTTAAACGTAGTTGTGTATCGTTTGTATTCACTTTCGGTGAAATTGTCATTTTTACGTCAATTGGAATGTCAAAAGTAAAAAATTTTACCTAAAAATATATATATAAGAGATTTTCGTAGAGATTCTTACAATTAAATTACAATAAATTCAATAAATAACATAACGATTTCAAATAATACTATTTCTGATAAACAATCAAGTCAAAAACTGCTTAGACACTGTATTCGAACTGTCATACTTGTGCTACCCTCAAAAATGTGTCAAATATTTGAAGCTACACTGAAAAAATCAAAAGCGATTAGTGCTGAAAACTTACAACAAATAAAATTCACTATAAGAATTTTTTGAAAAAAGTTTTGACATAAAAATATCAATTTTTGCGTCAATTATTAAATTGTTCATCAGAAATGTCTTAATTTAAAATAAAAACATTTAAAACCGTAGTAAAATGAATTCAAACGATGGTCAATGTCATCTCCGCGCCTACAAGCTTTTATCTGAAAGAGAAAAATCATTTTTAATTAATGGGGCAAATCTGGCCAAAGCAGCTTAAAAAACAAATCTGAATTTGTTAAATAAAAATATGGCATTTTTGTTTAAAAATACATAGAGAGTCAGATAGTGACATTTGTTAATAAATTTAGAATATTTAAACAGCTGAATTTCCCGGAGAAATTCTTAAAGTCTGGAGATCTTGAGAAATAAAATTTGGAATGAAGAGTAATGGAACGTATAGGTAGAGAGTACAGGTGATAGTAGTTATAATTATTGGATTCTACTATGGGTATTTCAAGTAGGAATAAAATGTTATTATTTTATACTATAGCTTTTGATTTCGATTATTTGTTTCATAGTGTAAAATATTATTTAAGGATAGTTCAAATGGAAATTTTTCGTTATTATTAAAGTTTTTACTAAGTAGTGATATTTCAAAAAACAGTTCAGTTAGAAAGGGGGGGAAAGAAGGATACAAGTTTGTAAAGAAATATCGTTTTTTTTTTAAAGGTAGGAACTTGAAAATTAGAAGTATTGCTACTCATCATAAATAAATAATGACGTATAACAAGGATTTTGGATTTTTACATTTTTAGTTTTTAAAAGTTTTTTTTTTTATTTTCATTTTAAGGAGGAGGAAATGGGGGTATCGTAAAAAGAAATAAATATAAAAATAAATACAAATTGAAATAAAAATATAAAATAATAAAAATTATTAAAAATAAAAAATAATAGAAATTAAATCAATAGAATCAATAGAAATCGATATAATTCAATAGAAATCAATAGAAGTCAATATAAATCGACAGAAATCGATAGAAATCAATAGAAATCGATAGAAATCAATGGAAATCGATAGAAATAAATAGAAATGAATAGAAATCGATAGAATTCAATAGAAATCAATATACGTCAATAGAAATCGACAGAAATCGATAGAAATCAATAGAAATCGATAGAAATCGATAGAAATCAATAGAAATCGATAGAAATCAATGGAAATCGATAGAAATAAATAGAAATGAATAGAAATCGATAAAAATCGATAGAATTCAATAGAAATCAATATACGTCAATAGAAGTCAATAGAAATCGATAGAAATCAATAGAAATTAATAGAAATCGATAGAAATAGATAGAAATGAATAGAAATCGATAAAAATCGATAGAAATCAATATACGTCAATAGAAGTCAATAGAAATCGACAGAAATCGATAGAAATCAATTGAAATAAATAGATATCAAGAAAAATCAATGGAAATCGATAGAAATCAATGGAAATCGATAGAAAAAGATAGAATTCAATAGAAATCAATATACGTCAATTGAAATCGACAGAAATCGATAGAAATCAATAGAAATCAATAGAAATCAATAGAAATCAATATAAATCAATAGAAATCAATAGAAATCAATAGAAATCAATATAAATCAATAGAAATCAATAGAAATCAATATAAATCAATAGAAATCAATAGAAATCAATAGAAATCAATAGAAATCAATAGAAATCAATAGAAATCAATAGAAATCAATAGAAATCAATAGAAATCAATAGAAATCAATAGAAATCAATAGAAATCAATAGAAATCAATAGAAATCAATAGAAATCAATAGAAATCAATAGAAATCAATAGAAATCAATAGAAATCAATAGAAATCAATAGAAATCAATAGAAATCAATAGAAATTATTTTAAAGTTTTAATTCTATTTTGATTGATAGACAAAGATTTTTTTTAATTTGTATTATTTTTTAATGTTTATTTTTTTGAATTTTTAATAATTTTAATTTATTTATATTTATTTTTACGATACTCCCATTTCCCCTTTTCTCCTTTAAAAACCTATTTTAATACACCAACTAAATTATTAAAATTGTATCTTTTTAAATCCAAAGCAACCATGATTTCCCAACTTTTAAATTGAAATTACGCCAATTCTTCTTTTTTTTATATCTGTCATTTATAATACATGATATCAGAACGCAGTGAGTGAAATTTGTAATACATGATATTGGAACGCAGTGAAATAATATATGAAATGTCAAAGCAATATCAAAAATCCATATTATTTTTAAACTTTACTAATTTAATTATAAAAAAACATTTCATATCGAAACAAATTATGAATCTAAACCATTTTAGAATCATCTTAATCCCCCCATAAACGAAATTTCAGAAGAGTTTAATGACATTAGAATTTTATATATTTAATTGTGTAAGTAAATCTACGCCTATGATGCCTTCATATCGGTTACCAAACTTAAAAAGATAAAATTTTTATAGGAACTATTATGAGCTGTCTGAATATTAAATTTTTCTTTAGATTATACAATTTTGATAATATTTATATACTACATTTGGATCAATTAAAAATTTTGAACTACCCGTGTCAATTAAGAATTTTTCGTTAATATCTGAAACTTCGATATAAAGTATAAATTTGGATCAATTAAAGATTTTAAACTACCTGTGTCAATTAAGAATTTTGCGTTAATTTCTGTAAATTTGATTCTAGAAGGATTAGATTGCAGAGGAATAAGAATAATGGTCAATGTCATTGTTTAATTGTGTGTGGTATAAATATTGATGAGCATCTCCTAAATTTTCTTTCATTTTACTTAAAATCGATGTATTTTTAAGCCCTTTTCAATGGCTCACCTAAATCTGCCACTATTTGACGGTCTATTAGGGGTAAGATACTTAATAATAAAAAAATTGTTACGAGATACTATTAAAAAAAAAAAACATTTCAATATTGTAATTTTTGGACTTACCATCAAGGAACATGAAATATTTCGACAGTTTCACTGGCTAGCAGCATTCGGACTATTGTTATAGCCTAAAACGTCTACCGGATGACCGTTTTGTTGGTTAACTTCACCACTCTGAGCATTCGCATCTATGACTAAACTACCTTCTTCGCCATCGCTGCTGTAAGAATCGCCTTCATCGTCTGAACTTGACAATATGCCTTAAAAATAGGTTAAAAATAACAGAAATTCATTATAAAATAGATAAAAAAAGCTAGATAGACCAAAAACTAGTATAAAATAGTTATTTATGCAACAAGTGTGTAAAGTAAAAGGGACTTTACAAACGAGTGGCATACAATATTTTTTCTACTACCGTACACATAATCCACTAATATTAGAAATATAAAAGTTACTTTTTTTAACTAGTGAAAAAAAGTACTTTACTTTACGCACTAGTGAAAAAAAGTACAACTTTACACACTTCGTAGAGTGCGTAAAGTACGTATTTTACGCACGGTAGTAGAAAAAATATTTTTTTATGTCAAAAAAACCTTAAAAATGACTGAATTACGGAAAACAAACGTTCTGAAGTTCTGGTTTTTAAAAATGACGCTAAATAGATTAAAAATAATAGAAATTCATTTTAAAATAGATTTAAAAAAGCTAGATAGACCAAAACTAGTATATATTTTTTTATGTCAAAAAACCTCAAAAAATGACTGAATTACCGAAAACAAATGTTCTGAAGTTCAAGTTTTAAAAAATGACGCTAAACAGGTTAAAAATAATAGAAATTCATTATAAAATAGATTTAAAAAAAAGCTAGATAAACCAAAACTAGTATAAAAATATTTTTTATGTCAAAAAAACCTCAAAAATATTAGTATATATTTTTATTTTCATTTATTTTTAATTATCTGTATTTATTTTTATATTATCTTTACATTATCTGTATTTATTTTTATTTATTTTTATATATTTTTATTTCTTTTTGTTTTTTTTATTTATTTTCTTTACTTTTAGCTTTTCATTTGTTTTTATTTACAATTTATTTTTATTAATAATTTACTTTGCAATTTAATTATTATTTTTTAATTTTTTTATTCTTTCTATTTATTTGTTTTTTTTTTCACAATTCTTTATTGTTTATATATTTTTATTTTTAATTTTTATTTATTTTTTTAATTATCTCAGTGGCGGCTCGTGGTAATTTGAATTGGGTGTTCACTTTTTCCAATAATTTGATCATTTTTGTAAGTTCGGCCCAAAACTTTGTAAAAGAGCCAATATCGCTGTTTTTATTATTATTTGAGTTTGTATTAAATGTAGTTATTATCAACATCATACTATTTTCAAGCACTTTAACTATTAATAAATGAAAATTTTAGTTAGTGTGATATTTGTTTTATTTTTAATTCATTGAAAACCACCTATAAACATTATTAGTTAACTGACTTTTCTTCATAATTTGAGATTATTTTTAAATATATATAAGGTTATGTAGATTTTTGTGTAAAAAATATTATATGAAACTTTTCCTACCATTTTTCAGTTTTTATTGTAAATTTAATCATTTTCACATTTTGTCACACATGTCAAATAAAAAATATATTTTTTAAATACCTTTTAAAATAATAACTTTTAAATAAAATAAAAACTAAAATGTTTTAAATGTTTATTTTATGAGATCAGTCCCATCACAATACATACTATTACACAAATACAAACTAGAATAAAGATATATAATGCCAGGCATTCTAAATGATACTCCCTTAACTACCCATTTTCTACCAGATTGTTTTCACAATTAATACCTCATCTCCTTATAGGGCTTGATTTTTACTAAAAATGTTGATATCGCTTTTCATTTTTGATTTTTTGTTTTTAATTTTAATTTCAACCCCCCTTAAATCCCCCATATTTAATTAGATTTTTTTAATTAAAGGTAGTGGTGGCTCGTTATAATTTAAAATATTAATTCCTCGATTAATACAGTGTAAGAAAGAAACATCAAGTTTAAATTATAGAAATAATGCAAAATCATGCTTACCTAATATGAGATAATTCCCTAACACCCGTTTTTGTCCTTTCTGATTTAGTATTTTCATTGTTTGCAAAAACTAAACAAGGAAAACAAAACAAAGCATGTTGTTTATCACACCCGCATAACCACGAAGTTTTTTTATATTGTTCAATCTTAAAAGGATGTTTAAACTTTCTATTTCTTATGGCACATTCTTGAACAATGTTTATCTCCGATTGAGGTGGGCCATTCTTTTTTGTAAGCACTCGATTTTCGAAATTATGTCTATTTGTTTTTATAAATTTTACCAAATACGATTCCATCGTACATAAGCACTAGTAAATTCACACAGAACCTAAGACCAGTACAGCCAACCTCAAAACAACGAAAATTCGGTTCACGAAACACAAAAATCCATAAAAAGTATAATTTAAAGGGATCTCGTGTCTCACTGAGTGTATTCTCACTTTCTTCTTTTATATATCGGTAAACAAGGATACAAATATATTCAGGTTCATATTTATAAACAGAACTCAGCTGAGTCGGAGTTGGGTAAGTCGTCCTTGAACTAAAATCAAAGTTCGGTTACAACGTCTCTAAAGTTCCAAGTGGTGCCGGTGTCACACTGGAATTTAGACATGGATATTAGCAAATCTGTAAGTGTTAAGTAGGTACATTTACGGATTACTACTCATCTCTAAATTCGCACGATATAAACGATCCACAGGTAGACGGAATGACAGTTTGTTTGATTTGGTACAATGTTGCCAGAATATGTTTTTGTTATGTACCAGATTTTTCGAATTCTATTTGCAGTGACATCTAATTTATTGAAGAGGAAAAAAGAGGGTTTTTATAGATAACGAACCCAAACAAGGAACACAATATATTTATATATATATTTTACACGTGAACACTGCCTCAAGCAAAATGTACTACATCTAGTACAATTGTGAATTGTACTAGACTGGCAACACTGGTTTGGAAACCTAGTTTGTGAGCGGCGCGCCAATTAATGAGTTCTTTTGACGTTTGAAGGATATTTTGGCGTGTTGTTTTCTCTTTTTAACTTTATGCATTCTTCAAATCGTCTCACTCATGTTAGGCTCACTCATCATAATGCGCCACAGACACAGTATACTTAGGTATTCTATGCCACAGAGACGCGATCAGCCAGAGGGCAATGATGTACCAAAAAATATAGATTAACACGTATGAAAATAAAAATATTAAAATTAAATTTATATTTTTATGTTATTTATGTAATTTTAAAATAATGTGTTTTTATGAAATTTAACTGGGTGTTCACTGCCCAAATGAACCAATGGAGAAACCGCCCCTGAATTATCTGTATTTGTTTTTATTAATAATTTACTTTCTAATTTAATGTCTTTTAAACTTTTTCTATTCTTTTCATTTATTTTTTATTTATTTTTGTTTAATTTTATTTACAATTTATTTTTATTTTTAATAATTTACCTTTTAACTTAATTAATTTTTACATTTTTATTTATTTTCATTAATTTTCATTTATTTTCATTTATTTTCACTGATTTTCATTTAATTTATTTTCATTTATTTTCACTGATTTTCATTTAATTTATTTTCATTTATTTTCATTCATTTTCATTTTCATTTATTTTCATTCATTTTCATTCATTTTCATTCATTTTCATTCATTTTCATTCATTTTCATTCATTTTCATTCATTTTCATTCATTTTCATTCATTTTCATTCATTTTCATTCATTTTCATTCATTTTCATTCATTTTCATTCATTTTCATTCATTTTCATTCATTTTCATTCATTTTCATTCATTTTCATTCATTTTAATTCATTTTCATTCATTTTCATTCATTTTCATTCATTTTCATTCATTTTCATTCATTTTCATTCATTTTCATTCATTTATTTTCATTTATTTTCATTTATTTTCATTTATTTTCATTTATTTTCATCTATTTTTATTTATTTTCATCTATTTTTATTTATTTTCATTTATTTTCATCTATTTTTATTTATTTTCATTTATTTTTATTTATTTTTATTTATTTAAATTTATTTTCATTTATTTTCATTTATTTTCATTTATTTTCATTTATTTTTATTATTTATTTTCATTTAATTTTATTTATTTTCATAGATTTTCATTTATTTTCATTTATTTTTATTATTTATTTTCATTTATTTTTATTATTTATTTTCATTTATTTTTATTTATTTTCATAGATTTTCATTTATTTTCATTTCTGTTTAGTAAATATTAAAGGAATCAATCGAAATAACCGCTAAATAGGTTAAAAATAACAGAAATTCATTATAAAATTATTGCAGCCGATAACACAAACTTTGTCTATTATTATAAATAAAAAAATTTCCCATTAAAACAAAAATGTATTTAATTCACTTACCGCTATCCAATTGAGCGGGCATATTAGCGAAATCTTGCGGCCAAAACCTCCTATTATTATTGTGACTCTTCTTCTTTTTATGACTCGGGGAGTTTGTGGCGCTATTGGTATCTGAAGGTGTAGTGGCATCCAACATTGGTTGTAAAATTCTACGTCTGGCATTGATGAACCAATTGTTGACTTGCAAGAGAGTCAGATTCGTTTGGGCGGCTATGTGACGTTTTTCGTCTTCCGTCGGGTATGGGTGCTAAGAAAAATTAAGTAAGAATCTTTGAAACCAATATTAGCTTATAGTCCAATCAAAATTGTGGAGGAAATACAGGAATTTTTTATATAAGTCACCGGCAAATGTCAAAAAACAAGAAAATAAAGTGTTTTTTTGAGGTTATTTAAAAACGGTAGGTACTATAAAAAAAAGTTTTGAATAAAAATTGTTAAGCATAAAGTTTTACATAAAAACGATATTTAAGATTTTTTGCTATTATCAAGACTAACACAGTTAGGGGGTTAGAAGTTAAGAGAAAATATTTATTTTTTTTAAGTTATAACAATTTTAATTTATAAATTTTTAATATATTATACGACTTTACATGGTAAATTAAATTTTAAAGTGACAGTTTAGTCTCCAGTTCCGTTAAATAAAAATTAATAAAAACAAAAAAAGAATAAAAATAAATACAAATCAACATAAATAAAAATTATTAAAGATAAATAAAAATAAATGAAAATTAATAAAAATAAATATGAGAAAAAATATACTTCAACAGTTCTGTTTAAAATAACCTCAAATATGTCAGAAAAAAATCATATATCCAGATTATTTTTTGTTCAGCTGCTAAAAAATATATTTAAAAAAAATATATTAAAAATTAACAAGCAAATTTTTAATTAAAATTTTTGAAAATATATTTTTTCCTCTTTTATATATTTTTATTTAATTTTATTTGTATATTTTTTATTATCAATTATTTATTTTTATTACTTTAATTTATACAAAATTTCCCTAAAATGGACCGTATCCGAGATATTTAAGAAAATTTTGAATTTTGAAGAAAACTCATAGGGGGTGATTTTTATATTCTATGAAATATATCTGTTATTTATGTTTGTAAAAGAAAATTCTTCAAATAAAAGTTATTTCTAATAATATTCTCTATAATTTTTATCCTATACAAAATTTTCCTAAAATGGACCGTACTCAAGATATTTGAGAAAAAGTGCAAATTTGGAATTTTGAAGAAAACTCAAAAACGGATAAAGAGAAAAACACCAAATTTTAAACTTAACCTTTATTCTAGCCGGCGGTGAACTGATTATATTTTTGTCAGTGTCGGAACATTTAGGGGCGTACTTTATAGGTGGTCATTTTTATATTTTATGGAAAATATCTGTTATTTACGTTTGAAGAAAAAAATTCTTCAAATGAAAGTTATTTCTAATATTATTCTCTATAATTTTTATCCTATACAAAATTTTCCTAAAATGGACCGTATTCGAGATATTTGAGAAAATGTGTAAATTTCGAATTTTGAATAAAACTCAAAAATGGATAAAGAGAAAGGCACCAAATTTTAAACTTCAACTTTTTTTTGGCCTACGGTGAACTGATTAGCTTTTGGGCAAAGTCGGAACATCTGGGGGGTCCTTTATAGGGGGTCATTTTTATATTTTATGGAATATATCTGTTATTTATGTTTGAAGAAGAAAATTGTTCAAATAAGAGTTACTTTTTATATTATTCTTGTAGGTAATGGGCCACTTGGGAGCCCCCACCACTCCACTTTATACCAGCCATTTTTTTGACTTTTTGTACGTTTTTCCGACATTTTTTGACGGTTTTTCGACGTTCTTCGATGTTTTTCGACGTTTTTCAACATTTTTAAACGTTTTTCGACGTTTTTTGACATTTTTCAACATAATCGGAAGAATGTTTTTTTTTGAATAAGATTTCAAATAAAATAAAAAGCGTTAAAAACGTCGATAAATGTCGTAAAACGTCGAAAAAACGTTATTTAGATTTGAAGAAGAAAATTGTTCAAATAAGAGTTACTTCTTATATTTATTCTAGTAGGTGTAATGGGCCGGTCACTTGGAAGCCGGGGGGGGGGGGGGGCGCCACTTTAATTTATACCAGCCGTTTTTCGACGTGTTTCAACGGTTTTAAACGATTTTAAACGTTTTTCAACCTTTGCGTAAGATCGAAGAATGTCTTTCTTGGAATAAGATTTAAAATAAAATGAAAGCGCTAAAAACTTAGACAAACGCCGAAAAACGTCGAAAAATGTCGAAAAAACATCGAAAAACGGCTGGTATAAAGTGGAGTGGTGAGGGGTTCCCAAGTGGCCTATTACCTACTTATTCTCTAAAATTTTTGTCCTATACAAAATTTTCCTAAAATGGTCCGTATTTGAGAAATTTTAGAAAATTTAAATAATATAAATTTTTAAGAAAATTGTTCAAATAAAAGTTACTTCTTCTATTATTCTAGTAGGTAATAGGCCACTTGGAAGACCCCCACCATTCCACTTGATATCAACCGTTTTTCGACGGTTTTTTTCGAAGTTTCTCGACATTTTTCGACGTTTTTCAACGTTTTTCGACATTTGCAGCAGTTTTTAACGTTTTTCAACCTTTGCGCATGATGGGTAAATGTTTTTCTTGGAATAAAATCTAAAATAAAATCAAAAGCGCTAAAAACGTTGAATAACGTAAAACGTCGAAAAATGTCGAGAAACGTCGAAAAACGACTGGTATAAAGTGGAGTGGTGAGGGGCTCCCAAGTAGCCTATTACCTACTTATTCTCTAAAATTTTTTCCTATGCAAAATTTTCCTAAAATACGCTAAAAACGTCGAAAAACGTTGGAAAACGTCGAAAAATATCGAAAAAAAAAAAACGTCGAAAAACGGCTGGTATAAAGTGAAGTGATGGGGGGCTTTCAAGTGGCCCATTACCTACTTATTTCTACAATTTTTGTCCTAACAAAATTTTCCTAAAATGGTCCGTATTTGAGAAATTTTAAATAATTCAAATTTTTAAGAAAATTGTTCAAATAAGAGTTTCTTTTTATATTATTCTAGTAGGTAATAGGCCACTTGGAAGCCCCCCCATCACTCCACTTTATATCAGCCGTTTTTTTTACTTTTCCGACATTTTTCGTCATTTTTCGACGTTTTCCAACATTTTTCAATGTTTTTCGACATTTTTCAGCAATTTTTAACGTTTTTCAATCTTTGCGCATTAAGGGTGAATGTTTTTCTTGGTATAAGATTTAAAATAAAATTAAAACCTATAATAACGTCAAAAAACGATGAAAAACGTCGAAAAATGTCGAAAAAACGTCGAAAAACATTGGGATAAAGTGAAATGTGGGAGGCTCCCCAGTGGCCCATCACCTATTTATTCTCTATAATTTTTCTCCTACACAAAATTTTCCTAAAATGGTCCGTATTTGAGAAATTTTAGAAAATTTGAAATATTCGAATTTTTAAGAAAACTGTTCAAATAAGAGTTACTTTTTATATTATTCTAGTAGGTTATAGGCCACTTGGGAGCCCCTTAACACTCCACTTTATACCAGCCGTTTTCCGACGTTTTTTTCAACGTTTTTCGACGTTTTTCAACGTTTTTCAATGTTTTTCGACATTTTTCAGCAATTTTTAACGTTTTTCAATCTTTGCGCATTAAGGGTGAATGTTTTTCTTGGAATAAGATTTAAAATAAAATTAAAACCGATAATAACGTCAAAAAACGATGAAAAACGTCGAAAAAACGTCGAAAAACATTGGGATAAAATTTTTAGTAAAATGGACCGTATTCGAGATATTTGAGAAAATGTGTACATTTCGTATTTTGAAGAAAACTCGAAAACGGATTAAGAGAAAAGCACCAAATTTTAAACTTGGGCATTATTCCGGCCTGCGGTGAACTGTTTAGATCTAGGGCAGAGGCGGAACATCTGACAGGGTACTTTATAGGTGGTCTTTTTTATATTTCATGGAATATATCTGTTAGTAAAGTTTGGAGACAAAAATTCTTCAAATAAAAGATACTTATAATATACTTCTCTATATTCACTCCATAATAAGAAAAATTCTGGATTAGTATTATCAACAGGACATCTGTACACCCTCGGTTAGCAAAAGAGACTTTATACTGTTTCTGTGAGATAAAGAAGGAAACTGCATTACAAATTTTGCGTCATTGCGAAGATACATCAAGACTGACATTTCTTATACTTTGAGAAGAAAACTCTAGTGGTAGAGTCAGCGAATTAGGATATCGCCGCCACTGGGGTCAACATTACCACGTCTTCCCGTTTCAGGAGAGAGCGCCGAGAGCGAGGACTTGACGTTCGACCAGCCGAACGCTATGAAGTGATAGGCCTTATGCCATTTAAAGACATTCTTTATTTTGTTTCTTAATTAATTACATTTCAAACATTGTTTACGAGTTATTTAATAAAACGTTATAAAACCATATTAACACGTGTTTTACCTGCCCTATAGGTGCTAAAGATTGACGAGGATGATAGCATAAGGAGCCCAAAGGGTGAATGGGAATAATTTCTAGACAGTAGCAGAATTTGATATTTCAACTGCACCTGAAGATGGAAAAGTTTTCCGAAACATACGTAATGCTGTGTTAAACCAAGAAAATTTATTAAAAAACCATTACTCACCACTAAATGTTGAAACAACCACGACCTCATCACGCTAGTAGCATGCTTTGGTAACACCCCCCTCTTTTGCTTCCTACCACCTCTAGAATTAAAATCACTATCACAGTCGTCGGCTGAACCTCCGGGAGTGGTGGGCGCGGGAGACAGAGCCCCCCCCGAACTGTCACTAGGAGCAACAGAAGGACATATATTAGCTCCTATTTGTCCCAACGGCGTAGAACCGTGTACTATGAGGTTCTCCGGTGGAGGAGGTTGAGAGGATGGCAGAGGTGGCGTAGGGCCGCTACTGCTTCCGTAGGGAGGCATCGGATAGGCGGCTGGAACGTCGATGGGTCGTTCGATCATAGCTGGGTTGGGGAGTACCTTAAAATACGTTTGGGAACTTATATATTCAACTTAAATGTAAGTACAGAGAATATTGAGATAGAGCAGGTGTTTCTCAAAGTTGAAATGAATTTAATTCAAATATAAGTAACTTTATTTTTGGATTTTTCGATTTTTCGGTTTTTTGATTTTTCGATTATTCGATTTTTGGATTTTTCTATTTTCGATTTTTTTATTTTTCGATTATTCACTTTTTGGATTTTTCAATTTTTGGATTTTTTGATTTTTCGGTTTTTTGATTTTTCGTTTTTTCGATTTTTCGGTTTTTTGATTTTTCGATTATTCGATTTTTGGATTTTTTGATTTTTCAATTTTCGATTTTTCGGTTTTTTATTTTTCGATTATTCGATTTTTGAATTTTTCAATTTTTGGATTTTTTGATTTTTCGATTTTTCGGTTTTTTGATTTTTCGATTATTCGATTTTCGTTTTTTTGATTTTTCGATTTTTCGTTTTTTTGGTTTTTCAATTTTTCGATTTTTTGATTTTCGATTATTCGGTGTTTCAATTTTTGGATTTTTCGGTTTTTTGATTTTTCGATTTTTTGATTTTTCGATTATTCGATTTTTCGGTTTTTTGATTTTTCGATTATTCGATTTTTCGATTTTTTGATTTTTCGATTATTCGATTTTTCGGTTTTTCGGTTTTTTGATTTTTCGATTATTCGATTTTTCGTTTTTCGATTCTTCGTTTTTTCGATTATTCAATATTTCGATTTTTTGATTTTTCGATTTTTTGGTTTTCGATTTTCGATTTTTTTCCATTTTTCGGTTTTTTGATTTTTCGGTTTTTTGTTTTTCAATATTTCGATTTTTCGGTTTTTTGATTTTTCGACTTTTTTATTTTTCGATTATTCGATTTTTCAGTTTTTTGATTTTTCGATTATTCGATTTTTCGATTCTTCGTTTTTTCGATTATTCAATATTTTGATTTTTCGGTTTTTCGATTTTTCAATTCTTCGATTTTTCGATTTTTGGATTTTTCGATTTTTCAATTCTTCGATTTATTGATTTTTCGATTATTCAATTTTTGGATTTTTGGATTTTTCGGTTTTTTTTAATTTTCGATTTTTGGATTTATCGATTTTTCAATTTTTCAATTTTCAATTTTTCAATTTTTCAATATTTTTCGATTTTTCTAGTTTTGGATTTTTCAATTTTTCGGTTTTTCGGTTTTTTTGATTTTTCGATCTTTCGGTTTTTTGATTTTTCGATTTTTTAATTTTTCGGTTTTTCGATTTTTCTATTATTCGATTTTTCGATTTTTCGATTTTTCAATTTTTCGATTTTTTTATTTTTCGAGTTTTGGATTTTTCGATTTTTGGCTTTTTGGATTTTTCAGTTTATTTTTCGAGTTTTGAATTTTTTGATTTTTCAATTTTTCGATTTTCCGGTTTTTTTATTTTTCGATTGTGATTTTTGGATTTTTCGATTATGCGATTTTTTGATTTTTAATTTTTGGATTTTTCAATTTTTCGATTTTTCGGTTTTTTGATTATGCGATTTTTCGATTTTTGGATTTTTCAATTTTTCGATTTTTGGATTTTTCAATTTTTGAATTTTTCGATTTTTGGATTTTTTGGATTTTTGGATTTTTCGATTTTTTGATTTTTCGGTTTTTTTATTTTTCCATTCTTCGATTTATTGATTTTCGATTTTTCGATTATTCGATTATTCAATTTTTGGATTTTTCGATTTTTTTGATTTTTCGTTTTTCGATTTTTCGTTTTTTCGATTTTTCGTTTTTTTGATTTTTCGGTTTTCGATTCTTCAATTATTCGATTTTTTTGGTTTTTCGGTTTTTTAATTTTTCGATTTTTGGATTTTTCAATTTTTCGGTTTTTTTGATTTATCAATTTTTCGATTATTCAATATTTTGATTTTTCGGTTTTTCGATTTTTCAATTCTTCGATTTTTGGATTTTTCGATTTTTCAATTCTTCGATTTATTGATTTTTCGATTATTCAATTTTTGGATTTTTAGATTTTTCGGTTTTTTTTAATTTTCGATTTTTGGATTTATCGATTTATCGATTTTTCAATTTTTCAATTTTTCAATTTTTCAATTTTTCAATTTTTCAATTTTTCAATTTTTCAATTTTTCAATTTTTCAATATTTTTCGATTTTTCTAGTTTTGGATTTTTCAATTTTTAGATTTTTCGGTTTTTCGGTTTTTTTGATTTTTCGATCTTTCGGTTTTTTGATTTTTTGATTTTTTAATTTTTCGGTTTTTCGATTTTTCTATTATTCGATTTTTGGATTTTTCGATTTTTCAATTTTTCGATTTTTCGGTTTTTCGGTTTTTTTGATTTTTCGATCTTTCGGTTTTTTGATTTTTCGATTTTTTAATTTTTCGGTTTTTCGATTTTTCTATTATTCGATTTTTGGATTTTTCGATTTTTCAATTTTTCGATTTTTTTATTTTTCGAGTTTTGGATTTTTCGATTTTTGGCTTTTTGGATTTTTCAGTTTATTTTTCGAGTTTTGAATTTTTGGATTTTTCAATTTTTCGATTTTCCGGTTTTTTGATTTTTTGATTTTTCGATTTTTCGGTTTTTTGATTTTTCGATTATGTGATTTTTGGATTTTTCGATTATGCGATTTTTTGATTTTTAATTTTTGGATTTTTCAATTTTTCGATTTTTCGGTTTTTTTTATTTTTCGATTTTTCGGTTTTTTGATTATGCGATTTTTCGATTTTTGGATTTTTCAATTTTTCGATTTTTGGATTTTCAATTTTTGGATTTTCAATTTTTGAATTTTTCGATTTTTGGATTTTTTGGATTTTTGGATTTTTCGATTTTTCGGTTTTTTGATTTTTCGGTTTTTTTATTTTTCCATTCTTCGATTTATTGATTTTCGATTTTTCGATTATTCGATTATTCAATTTTTAGATTTTTCGATTTTTTTGATTTTTCGTTTTTCGATTTTTCCGTTTTTTTGATTTTTCGGTTTTCGATTCTTCAATTATTCGATTTTTTGGTTTTTCGGTTTTTTAATTTTTCGATTTTTGGATTTTTCAATTTTTCGGTTTTTTTGATTTATCAATTTTTCGTTTATTCGATTTTTCGGTTTTTCGATTATTTGATTTTTCAATTTTCGATTTTTCGTTTTTTTAATATTGTTTAACGCCGCACCGCTGTACCGGTCGGAGTTGGTTTGTTTTCGATACGGTGTTACGGAATTTCTTGATTCGATCTCCGCGCTCAAAGCCCGCGACAAAAGCTATGCAATAGCTTAAAAGACAAGAAAGTGTTCTATTAATCCTTGATGACTTTTTTTTTGTTTTTTTACTAAGATAAAGGATATAATTGCGTTTACTTATGTTTAAATTGAATAGACAGTAGACATATTGTGCAGTTTAAAATGTAGACCTAATTTATATGAAAGAAAATTAAATTAAAATAATAAAGATTCACTTACTTGTTGTGGAGGACTGATCGAATATTGCACAGGACTATTTGAAGCAGAACCGCTTTCTGAATTACCATGTGGTAGCATACTATTGTTATTATTTTCCATACTATTCAGCAAACCAGTACCTAATACGTCTAGAAAGTTAAATTATATTAGTAAAAGAAAATAATAGATAGGTTTGTTACATTCCACAAACTTTTATGAATGCTTGATTGAATTTTTAATTTTTAAGATATACGCTTGTGATTTTACCCCCTTACCTAGTGTATGTCTGTTTTTTTTAATGCCTTGATGGGTCCCTAGAGTATTCCCGTTTAATATTTTCTCTTTTCGATTCATTATTTGTTTGTTTGTTTGTTAATTTACCTCTTTCATTTTGTGACTGGCTGTATGACAAAGAGTGTGCCAAAAAAAAAAAACCTTTTGAACCAATATCTGAATGGATACAAAACTATTTGGAACACTGATTGATAGTATTTAGTGAATAATAAGATATATAACTGACTAATTGTCCCATTATATCAAAATTTTGAAGGAAATACAGGAATTTTTAATATAAGTCACTTTAGAGCAGGTGTTCTCAAAGTGGGGTAAATTTGGACAGCACGAAAATATTAATCATTATAAAAAAAAATATTAAATATACAGTTTAAAAAATCAATTTTTTATTATTTTTAGGACACCGTCAGTATTTCGCTTTAAAAAGGGTTTTGTCACCGAAAAAGTTTGAGAACCGCTGCTTTGGAGTATTTAAATTTGAGAACCGCTACTTTGGAGTATTTAAAAACGATATTTAATTAAATTTTGTTTTTTCAGATCCTGATAAATGGCGAAGAACAAGATAGTAAAGGTGAGTGCTACAAAAAAAGTTCTTAATGAAAATTGAAAAGCATAAAGGTTTATATAAAAATGATATTTAGCATTTTTTTGCTATTATTAAAACTAACAGAACTAAGGTGGTTAGATGTTAAGAGGATACATATAAATAGGTTAAAAATAATATAAATTAACTATAAAATAGATTAAAGAAAAGCTAGATAGACCAAAACTATTATAAAAATATTTTTTTATGTCAAAAAAATCTCAAAAAATGACTGAATTACGGAAAACAAACGTTCTGAATTTCAAGTTTTAAAATAGATAAAAAAAAACTACTTAAAAAAAAATTAAAATATGTAAATTAATAAAAATTTACTTTTATTTACTTTTATTTATTTTTATAAATTTTTATTTATTTTCTTTACTTTTAGCTTTTCATTTGTTTTTATTAATAATTTACTTTTTAATTTAATTAATTTTTTTACCTTTTTTTTTATTTTTATTTATTTTAATTTTTTCAATTTTATTTTTAGTTAGTTTTAATTATTTGTATTTATTTTTAATTATCTATATTTATTTTTACATTATCTTTATATTATCTGTATTTATTTTTATATATTTTTATTTATTTTTATGTCTTTTTGTTTATTTTTAATTATTTTTATAATTTTTTATTTATTTTCTTTACTTTTAGCTTTTCATTTATTTTTGTTTAATTTTATTTACAATTTATTTTTATTAATAATTTACTTTATTTTTTTTTTTAACTTTTTTTTATTCTTTTTATTTATTTTAGTTTTTTAATTCTTTATTTATTTTTTATTTTATTTTCTTTAACTTTTCTATTTTTTTAAATTTTTTATTCTTATTTTTTTATTTATTTTTTTTTTTCAATTTTTTATTTTTTATATTTTTTTTTATTGATATTTTACTTCCTAATTTAATGTTTTTTTATTCTTTTTATTTATTTTAGTTTTTTTCGATTCTTTATTTTTTATTTTATTTTTTATATTTTTTTATTTTATTTAATTATTTTTATATATTTTCATTTATTTTCTGTATCTGTAACTTTTTTTATTCTTTTTATTTTAGTTTTTTTCGATTCTTTATTTTTTATTTTAGTTTTTTTCGATTCTTTATTTTTTATTTTAGTTTTTTTCGATTATTTATTTTTTATTTTATTTTTTTATTTTATTTAATTATTTTTATATATTTTTATTTATTTTTTTTTATATATTTATTTTCATGTATTTTCATTTATTTTTATTTATTTTCATTTATTTTCATGTATTTTCATGTATATCCATTTATTTCCATTTATTTATTATTTATTTTCATTTATTTTTATTGAATTTAATTTATTTTCATTAAATTTAATTTATTTTCATTGAATTTAATTTATTTTTATTTATTTTCATGTATTTTCATTTATTTTCATTAATTTTCATTAATTTTCATTTATTTTCATTTATTTCCATGTATTTCCATGTATTTCTATGTATTTCCATGTATTTCCATGTATTTTCATTCATTTTCATTTATTTTCATTTATTTTCAATTATTTTCATTTGTTTTCATTTATTTTCATGTATTTTCATTTATTTTCATGTATTTTCATTTATTTTTATTAAATTTAATTTATTTTCATTTATTTTCATTTATTTTCATATATTTTCATTTATTTTCAATTATTATCATTTATTTTCATTGAATTTAATTTATTTTCGTTTATTTTCGTTTATTTTCATTTATTTTCATTGAATTTAATTTATTTTCATTGAATTTAATTTATTTTCATTTATTTTCATGTAATTTCATTTATTTCTCTTTATTTTCATTTATTTTCATGTATTTCCATGTATTTTCATTTATTTTCATTTATTTTCATTTATTTCCATTTATTTTCATATATTTTCATTTATTTTCAATTATTATCATTTATTTTTATTTATTTTTAATTAATTTCAATTATTATCATTTATTTTCATTTTTTTTTAATTTATTTTTATTTATGTTCATTTATTTTTATTTTATCACAGTTTCCCCCTTTAAAATATGAAAATCAAAACCCTGAGAATACAAACGAATTTTATACAATTCTCTAACTTAACATTACATTTTTTTCTCTTTAAAACTAGACCCGATATATTTTTTTCTATATTGTATTATGTATTTCTTTTATGTAGCTGCAAATAAAGATTATTATTATTAGAACGACAAAATAACAATCTAAAAAACAACTTGAAAGCTTTAGAACGACAGTGACTATAATAATTTAATTAATTTTCTAGAAGATCTACAATTAAAAATTTCGTTTTCCGATTTATAGACAGTTGAAATGTTCTTGTTCTACAGATACCACAACGGTTCTATCAAATCCTCAAAACTTATGTTATTAGAATGATACGACACTGATTTATTTAATAGAATCAATACCTAACCGGTTTATTAGCCTTCTCTTTGACTCACCTTGAGGATAATCCGACCTAAGTAAATTTTCAGATTGCATTTTTCCCTTCAAACAAGTGATATACCTATTGCAGAAATCCTTACATAACTCTTGAACTTTTTCTAATTCTAATAAATGTATCCTTAAGACCTGTATTGCTTTAATCATCTGAAATAAAGAGTAAAATTATCAAGACTATTCCAAAACTCCAAAAATAAAAAACTGTAGTCGCCGGGGATTGAACCCAGACATCCATTTTCTCCGGATATGTGCCCTAAGCGATAAAAATTATAATTTTAAAGCAATGAAAACAATTTTTTGATTATTAGAACAATCATTTTGTAGAAAAATTACAACTAGGATCATTTTCATTGCAATTTTATTCGTCTTGGCAGTTGATTAAATAAAAAATATTATTTAATTAAGACATTAAAGTGCTGATATGACGAAATTGTTACGTAAAAACGATTTGCACATATGTAAACAAAAACATTATGTATTAATTTCAAGTATGCGTTACAACTAATTTGCATCTGCATCTATTTATGTCGTATAATTGTTCTTATAATGGCTAAACTATTTCTAATTGCTTGTAATTACTAGAAATACCAGTAAATCTATTAATAGAAACTCATTTTTGTAGTCGCTTTGATTAAAATTAATTTTTATCCTTTTTATTAGATTTTCAAACGATAAAAACGGTATTTAATTGTAAAACTTTAATTTAAACACCCGGTATATATAGATTAAACACCGACTAGACGTAAAATTTGGTTCGTCGGTGGACTGCAATTCAAATTAGGTATTTTTTTCATAGGGAAATACACCTATGGTTAGGTTAGATAGATCTAAATATCTATCTAACCTAACCATAGGTGTATTTCCCTATGAAAAAAATACAGCAATATATATTCAAATTATGTATTTTTACTTTCCTATCCTTTCGACGGATTTTTACGTTTTGAGATAGTTCAATGTGTAAATCTATTCTTTTTTGCACTTTTAATCAGTACACACCGTAAATATTTGATTTAAGACTCTTTCGACTATTTTTTTAAACATTAACTCTTTCTTGACTTAAAAAAACTTATATACAAAATAGTTGAAGAGTCAAACGTATAACTGACACTTACCAGTCCATCAATTTCCGGTTCATTTGCCAAAAATGGCTTCCTATCGCGTTCCTGGTGTTGCACAAACGCTTGAATATCCAGATTAAAAGCATCGCTAGACTGGGGATCTGACGATTGAGTGGCGAGTTCGCATCTTTCGAATAGTAAAGCCAGAAGTGGAAATAGTGGGTGCCTAATAAGGAATTACATTAAAAAACGAGTTATAATAATAAATAAACGGTACGCCCATGTGCGCGGTCCATTTGAAGTCGGCGATAATCGGTTATTTCGCCGTGTTAGATTGAGTCTAAAAAGACTATACCGGAACATCATTGGAAAGTTTGGTAAGGATTCATATTCGTGAATAAAATCATAATATAGTTTCTTAAAATTGTTATCATTAAATTTCTTTTCAAGAGATAAAAAAAAAACGTTTAATAGCACTCCCTTTGGAGTTGCCTAACATAGAAGGAGAGTGCTTCACCACAAATTGACCTTCGTCATTTCTTTACACTCTAAAGGAATGTTAACTTTAATTTCTTCAAGTTCTCAAAACTTCTTAAATGCTCATCCTCTTCTAAATGTACTTTGGAAAAGTTACAAATAGATACAAACAATATAACCGAACAGAGTATTTTGTAGATTGGGAAGATTATTAGATAATTGTACTTTGTTGTCTAATATTAAGTCCCAAAATAGATTAGCACCTATTAATATGTCTATATCCCTAGAAATACAAAAATTTAGGTCTGCAAATTGAAGACCTTTGGGTATATTCCATCTTTCAACATCATTGCTATGGTATCAAGGAATATTGCTAGTAATGGCAGGACAAACAAAGCAAAGATTGATAATTCGCACCTTTTATTAAGTTGAGAAACTATCTGGTTTATCCCCATAATTGATAAATTGGATGGGGTACAATTAAGGTTAAATTTTTTATAAAACATTTCTGTAATTAAATTAGATTGTGATCCAGAATCTAACAATGCTCGACAATCATGATAATTGCCATCAGAATCTTTAACCTTGCATATAATTGTAGACAAAAGAATTTGAGATTGGCGAAGAAGTGTTGTGTTTTAAAATCTTGTTACTTCTTTTGAATACCTTACATGGCTAAAGACAGCACTTGTCTTGGCTGTGATCGGTCCGTAAGCAATTTAAACATAAATTAAGATGTTTAACGTTGTTTATTCTTTCTGATATTGACAAGGCTAAACAATCTTGACACTTGTACATTGTGTGATTTTAAACTACATGAGATTTTGTGTTATCAAAAGAAAGATGTAATTGAGAATGATTAGAGTATTTATTTTTGTTCAAAATACTTTAAATTGAATGATTTCCAACCACTCATTCGCCCATCTCAATAGTCTTAATAGTACTCATATCTTGTGCTGGTCGACAGGACTTCTTAATTTTGTTGTCGAAAATTGAAAATAGAAATTCTTGAAATCCGACTCCAAAGGACCAAATTTTGTTGAAACTGTAAACTGCTGGTTCAAATAGTTTAATAATAATTGTAAGTGGACTGCATCAATCTTTTTATTTTAATTCTTGACTTGGCGATATTTCTTTTTTAATAATTGTCATTTTTTATGATATATGATAAAACAAAATATAAACAAAAGTTTTTAAACACCAGATTTGTCTAAAAAATGTACTAGATTACGTAAAAAGTACCAGATTTTCGAATGAATTGCGAAAAAAAAATAAATTGTTCTTACTTGTAGACAGCCCTTTTGTCAGCTTCGAATTGGGCTTGATCGGCAGTTGTGGGCGAGTAGACGGCAGGCAAAGTCTGCTGTACTCCCGTTTCTCCAACAGGAGGTACGCTCAGCATTGCACTTTGGACGCCACACTCCATATTTTTTCACCTGAAATTAAAAAAAAACAGACGTGAAATTAATTGAAGAAACTTAAGAGAAATATGTGCGAATTTGTTTGAAAATGAATTTTTATGACCCCAGGAGATAAACCCCAATATAACATCATAAATCAGCGTCGGAGAATTTTTAAAATAAAAATACCAATTTAAATTAAATTAAATTTTCTAGTCATTTTATTCAACAATTTTTGAAGGTAGAAAATATTTATAATTCAAGAACAATTTAAGTAGCCCTCAATTTTCATACAAATGATTAAAATTTCTAATCGACAGAAAGTGTTATGCAGATTGTAAATTATTTTAGTTAAGATTTAAATTTCTGTTTGTATAGTCTTGTGATTGTAACAAGCGAAATTTGTGCACTATTCCTACGTAAACTGTTAAATAGTCTAGAACTATTTGCTTTATTTTATTTTAATTTTGTATCAAGAACTAGAAATTGACCATTGTTACATACAAATAGATTTTTAACAAATTATACACACGTATTTTACGTTACAAGTGACATATTATTAGAGTACGAGTTGTTTTACGGACGAGGTGACAAAGGGGCCGAGTCTGGAAATAAACGAATACTGTAATAACACCTAAAGTACGTGAAACGAATTTTAATTAAATAATTTTAATTTCCTCAAAGCGGTGTCACTTTATACCAGCCGGCAACAACGCGATGCCCTTGGTGTTTTTTTTTTTCCACATAATTTTCTTGCACATTCTTCTATTCATCTTTTCTATTCCCTTTCGAGCAGTAACCGCGTTTGTAAGGACCCTATACTCATCTAAATGTTCACGGACTTGATATTCCACTGAGGATTGATTATGTTTTAGAAAAAATAATAATAATAATAATAAATAAAAAACTTTACAAGGTGGGAATATATGGAAATTTGAGGTTCTTGTTAAAAGTAATTGACTGTTGATAAAGAGTAGAAAATAAAAACAATTTAGAAGCCATAAAAGATTTATTTATATTACCAATCACTACGAAAATGTTATAGTCAAAGATAAAAAGATAATAGCAGGAAATATTGCAAGCTTTAGGAGAAGGTCTACTAATTGGTAGGAAGACGTCTACATCATTAAATTTCTCTTTAAAAGCTTTATAAAATGGTTTTTAAAAAGTCCTGAGTTGTCAGTAAGGTCAGAAAATTGGATTTTTAGATCAAATTTGTGAAAATTTTAACAGAAACAAGAGTTTTTATTCAATAACTTGACTATCTTTTAAATTAGGAAAAATACGTCTACATCGTTAAATGTCTCTTTAAAAGCTTTACAAAATGGTTTTTAAAAAGTCTTGAATTGTCAGTAAGGTCAGAAAATAGGATTTTTAGATCAAATTTGTGAAAATTTTAACAGAAACAAGTGTTTTTGTTAAATAACTTGACTATCGTTTAAACTAGAAAGAAGTAGTTTGTATCGTTAAATATCCCTTTAAAAGTTCTACAAAACGGTTTTTAAAAGGTCATGGAGTCTTGTTCTCTTCCATGCGCTAGCTTGTATAATCAATAAACGTTTTTAATTGGCTCATTCCATCGCTGTTGCCAAGTTTGACACCGCCAATTCTGACACATGTCAATTTTTGGTTTGTTTTCTTACGAAAAATATAATTATATTGTTTTTGTTATTATTCTTTTAAAAATACATTCCGAATGAATTGTGATTGGTGGATTTTATACCCATACCTTGTCCTTACTAGAATGAATATTAAATTATATCCGTTCAGTAGACTGATATGGACTATTCAGTAGTATATGCATAAAATATTAATATACATGTCAGTATAGAAGATAGCAGTGAGTGTCGTAGGTGCTCAATTGTCTGTGTGTGATACGTACAATCCTTGAGTTGTACAGTGTATTTTTTCTACGATCTACTTATGAAAATCTACAAATTTTAAAAATTATTTTAGGTTATTAAGACAAAATAACTAATTTAAAAATAATTTATTTTTTTTACCGATAAAACGTTGTAGATGTATCACTCTGTACTTTTATTATCTCGCTCTTCAACCAGAATTATTCTTTTAGACACTAAAGCTTCAATTATTTGTCTTTATTTGATTTGCTTCTAGAGCCTTAAATAAGCCACAAATAAGACGTCTTATTTAAGGCTTTACAAAACCATTATAAACTATTATTGAGTCGTCTTATTTACAAACCAATATAAGCCATTAATAAGACGTCTTAAAATAAAAAAATTAAACAATTTGTTTATAAAGCTCAATTTTTAACCTTGTTAAATAAAAACTATTAACAGTCTACTGTTTAAGGGTTAAATATATTTGGTAATACATTTGGCAACAGCGAATGGATTGAAACAGCGCACCGCCTGATGTGCAAATCTTAAATAAGAAAGATCCCTGGTCTTTTTTCAAAGATAAAAAACAGCTGGCCCAAGCAATATTTGGTTAAAATTAATATAAAAGCAGTCGGCTGCCGGTCGCGTCATGACGCTGCAACAGTGGCGTTCGGAATGTATTTTAATAGGTCTAATGTTTTTTTTTTTAATTTTTAATTTGGGTTAGTTGCCAGAATGGTAAATCTACTTTCTACATCCACATGGATATTGGCTTATTTACGCATTGCGTTTAACTCAACGAATATATTTCATATCCATTCTAGGTAGTGAAAACACTAAGAAATATGAAATCTACCAATCACGGTTCATATTTTGGACACCCAACTACTATTATTTTTAAAATGTAAAATAAGTAACAATTCTATCAAACTATTTGTCAGTATCTTTTTACTTTCCTATCTGTATACAGATATAAGGAAAGTATAGGAATCATGATTTTTTTCGACCTCGAGTTTTCGACGGATTTTTACGTTTTGAGGTCCCCTGAATCCGTTTTGACTATTTTCGCGATGATGTCTGTCTGTCTGTGTGTGTGTGTCTGTATAACGCATAACTCATGAACCGATACACAAAAAAACACCAAATTTTAAACTTAAGCTTTGTTTCAGCGTCCAATGAGCTGATTAGATTTGGGCAGAGTCGGAACATCTGGGGGGGTACTTTATAGGTGGTCATTTTTATATTTTATGGAATATATCTGTTATTTACGTTTGGAGAAGAAAATTCTTCAAATAAAAGTTACTTCTAATATAATTATCTATAATTTTTGTTTTATGCAAAATTTTCCTAAAATGGTCCGTATTCGAGAAATTTGAGAAAATGTAAAAAAAATAATTTTTTATAAAAATTGTTCAAATAAAAGTTGTTTGCAATATAATTTTCTATAATTTTTGTCCTATACATAATTTCTCTAAAATGGACCGTATTCGAGATATTTGAGAAAATGCGTAAATTTCGAAATTTGAAGAAAACTCAAAAACGGATAAAGGAAAAAACATTAAATTTTAAACTTAAGGTTTATTTCGGCCTGACGTGAAATGATTAGATTTTGGACAAAGTCGGAACATCTGGGGGGGTACTTTATGGGAGGCCGTTTTTATATTTTATGGAATATATCTGTTATTTATGTTTGGAGAAGAAAATTGTTCAAATAAAAGTTACTTCTAATATTATTATCTATAATTTTTGTTCTATGTCAAAATTTCCTGAAATGGTCCGTATTCGAGAAATTTGACAAAATGTGCAAAATTCTGATTTTTATGAAAATTGTTGAACTAAAAGTTGTTTGCGATATCGATTTCTATAATTTTTGTTTATATATGATTTTTCTAAAATGGACCGTAATGGAAAAGTGCTAAATTTAAATTTTTCTGTATTTTCGTTTTCAATGAATATCTATAGAAAAATGTTTCGAGGTAGATGTATGTGGAAAATGTATATATTTAGTTTATCCTCTAAACATTTATAGAGATGCTGCAATAGGTTGTACAAAATAACCGGAAAATGCCTATAATAACTAGATAGGAAAGTCATGTGTTGGACACATCAGATTTTTAGTTATTGAAATTAAATATATGTATTATAAAATGGGAAAGAAAAACTAAGTAATACACGTTTTGGTCTCGTAGAATCAACACCATCCTATGATTTAATTTTTTGGGGCTGTTCGGCGCATCTCCAGTGCGCATTTTGTGTACAGAAGAAAATTATTAGGTGTATGGCTGGAATTTCACAAATAATAAATAATATTAAATTATAAGATTCCTTAGTACATAACCATAATTTGCATAGTTACAACTCTCGACACTCTTACTATTCTGTACACAATAGTGTAATTTTAAAAGGTCACATTGTTTTTTTCAAGGATCTATTGACCTCTCTTTTTAACTACTGGCATTTGCGGAAACCTCTCGCTCAATCGAGACGCGAGCAGCCAGAGCGCAGCGGCATACCAAAATATAAAGAATAACATGTATGAAAATATTAAAATTAAATATATTTTATCCCAATAGTGAATTTAATTTTTGTAACTACTTCAAAAAATGGAAGATTCCATTTAAAACATTATGTAATTAACGATATGCATGTAGACTTACAATTTAAATATAATGATGTGAAAATGCAGTGATTCATTTTTATTTTGTTTTAAATGTATATCAAATAAACCGTGATAATTCGATTGTTATATGGTAACAATTATTTTAATACACCTTGTTTAATTTAAAAATCCTTGAAAGTTAGTATCCTAATTGATTGTTTACATATTAAACGTCGTATGATCCAGTTAGTTTCCACATATTTAATTTTGTCCATCACCAGAGCAATAGTTGTATATTCTTCTTTTACTTTTGTAAAATGTGTAAGACTCCGTTTTGACGAGTCTATGAATAAATGCCATTCCCTAGAAACATAATTTTGTAATCCCATTGCAGCCATCAAATTTAAATAAAGATAGTATTCATTTTATCATCAGTTTTATTGCTTTAATTACATCGAAAATGGAAAAAAGGGGTGGAAGCATCAGCCAAGGGATCGCAGCAGTGGCCCAGGAACTATTCGGAAAAAGACGAGGCGTGCAGTCATTATGAACAAGTGTCACCCTGGGAGAGATTCAAGACTACAATAATTGTG